TCGCGCGAGGCGAGGTGCCACATGGGTTTACAACTTTCCACGTGTGAAAATCCCACGCATATACTTTGCAAGACAACTTTTCTCAAGAAGTTTAACGCAACCAGCAAAGCGCAAATAAATTAAAAAAGTTGTCGTAACTAAAAAACAAAGACAATAAATACATAACTCATGATAATTTAATACAACGAAAGATTGACAGCAACATTCCTCAGGATTTTCAACGCATCCAACAAAGCGCAATTAACGTAATACAATCGGCGTAACTAACAACAAAGATAAATAACACATAATTCATAACACATTTTTATAACGATAGATTGGCAGCGACATTCTTCAAATATTGTAACACATCCTGTCGGTTGTAGGCTGCAACGAGACTCTTCAATCGCGCATCGTTGTCTTTGTAGCGCTTGTTTCTATTATTCGCAGGAGCGTGAGCATTCGCGCGCGCAATGTGAGCGTCGACGAGACCCTGCTCTGCTTGAAGCAACTCAATCATTTTCCACAGTACGAGATGCGAATCATTTGCTCTCCGATTTAGTGCATGGTGCCATCCTTCCACTGCATTGTTGGTACGAGCAACAGCCACCATCACTGAGGAGTAGTGGTTCCACAAAGAAATGTCAAACATTGCGCCGCGTCGTACTTTACGACGACCTAACACGCCAACCCAAGTGTGCTCAAAATAATCGAGAAAACCTCTCAAATCTTTCTCATTATCCGTGAAAAATTTCGACTGCAGCAAAGCATCGTACGCGTAAGTGACATCGCAGGAAGGAACGAATGCCAATGCGAATAACATTCGCAAATTACGAGCTACGCGGCTGCTCTCGCGGTACAATGGCGCAAGGTCGTGATCTTGTATACTACGCCAAAGTGCTTGACCGAAATGGAATAAACACCCTTTGATTTCACACTCGGGAAATTCTAGTGTAACGGCTTTTAAAAATGCCATCTCAAAATCTGACATTACATTTTTTGGGGCCACCCCGGGAATAGCATCTTTTAGAACCCGCAACAGAGTTTGATATGTTCTCTTGCGTCGATTAGGGCATAACGCATATACAAGAGGCACAATTTTGCCATTCACCTCCCCATGCACGGTGTACAGTTGGTCGAATATTTCAGGCACTACTTTAAAAGTACCATCACAATACCATATGTCACATCCTCGCAACACCTGCAGATTATCCTCCGTAGCAAATATAAGCAGTCTGTTGTTAATATCCTCAGAGTCGAATAACAAGAATTTCACGCTATTCAATGTCTTTTGAAAGTGTTCTGGTATTTCATACAATGTATTCTTCCTGGGATTAGGCGGTAAAGGATTGTTTCTTTGACGGATTCCTCGGACAGTCCGACTCAATGACTCAGCACTCGGTAATTGTGCAGCAACAGGAGACGACACCGTACCCAGCACGGACGCCACTAACGACGATGATGCTTCCTTGCTTGTCACCGCTTTCTTCCGTAATTTTGCAACAACGCGCTTTGTCTCAACTGCTGCAGCGTTAGGAGTGTGAGTTGTGTGCTCAGTTTGATGCAAAATGATACCTATAATAAGCAAAAAATAAAAGAGTAATGACAATTTTCCGATATTGCCATTAAGTACATTAATTTACGTACCATTGCGTAACTCCGACGACGTGTGACAAATCCCCCGACACCCGGTTTTATACTGCACACACCGCCAAATAACTTTTCCATTAGACCCCTCCCCATGCTTGTAATACAATTCACCATCAGCAATCAGCTGATTCTTTCCCTTGTTGCTTTTTACAAATTTGAGCGGCATGGTGCACGATAATATCGCTACCAGTACTTACAACAGACTGATTACTGTTATTCGAGGTGATATTGCTGACGATGAGTAAACACAGTACAATCAGTTGACGGTTCCGAATAATAACATATACAAGCATCAAATAAAGTCGCACAGTCTAGTGTAACGGCTTTTAAAAATGCCATCTCAATTTGAAATACAGTAGTACTGGAATTTTGGATGGGGAGATTTTTTCCGGGGGAGATTTTTTCCGGGGGAGATTTTTTCCGGGGGAGATTTTTTCCGGGGGAGATTTTTTGATGGGGAGATTTTTTCCGGAGAGATTTTTTCCGGGAACTGATTTCCGGGAGATTTTTTCCGGGGAACAAAACGTCGGTTACGAAAAATAATACAAAAATCTACAAATATTAAAAATTTGAGAATCAACAAAACCATAAAGAATTAAAACATCTGCTTACTTGTAGAGTACTACAATTATTTATAAATGACTATAGAAATCTACCACAATTTACTTATCGTAAAACTATACAAATTAGAAAATCTAATCCAGTTTTTAGTTTCTCATAAAATACTACAATTTTGTGTAAATAGTAACAAATACCGATTTGTTTCTACAGCTCAAAAATCTTTTACAATTATGGCTAATTAAAATTTGTAATTTTTAGTTTAATGTTACAAGTTTTTACACAAATCTTCCAAAATTTATCTATTATTAATAACTTCTTAATTCGCAAAAGTCAAAATACTTATGTTTTTATTTTCGTATAGTTTGCTGTAAGACCTGTGACGTTGCGGCCCGCCGTCACAAGGCGCGGAATTTCGCGCCCAGGGACGACCCAGAGAGGCGATGACGGAATCTCCAGGGGCCGAATATTAATATTATTTCCGCAATTTGATTATTTATTTTCTTTTATGTAATCGTAATACGCGCGGCGCCTCACTCACACTACGGCGAATCTTCGAGGGAGTACCGGTAACGGAAGAGTCCGGGAGGACCAAGGACCGAAGAGGGGTGGCGAAAGCGGAAACCATTGTTATCGCGGGCGGCGAAAGCAACGCGGCAGGCGTGCGGCGAGTGAGGCAGCGACGGACAAGGCCGCCGATAGCGGGGCCCCAGGCGCCTGGGGAAAACCCGGCCTGCCTCAGCAATTTGCCTCCACAAAATACCGGCTCGCGGGGTGGCTGATCACCGCCCCGAGGTCAAACCGGAGACACACCGGCCAGAACGAAGTCCAGTCCGCTGCCCAGGGACAAATTGAAGGAGTCGCTACGCCGCCGAGTGACCGTTGCGCGCCCCCGAAGGATCCCCTTGCGACAATCCTGCGTTGAGATATCGCGCGAGCTTGCAAGCTCGCTCCCGATCGGTCGGCGCGTCCCTACAGAAGGGGGTGCCACATCGATTCCGCAATCGAGCGGATTTAGCGAGACACTCTCTGGTCGTCCGTCGGCGAGTCCGAACACGTTACATTAAGCTCCGCGATAGCCGCCCCAAATCGGGAGTCAGTTTTTTGCATTCGACAATTGAGTACGAGGTGACGGCGAGGAGTCCCAGGAGAAGGCGTTACACCGGTGAGGTTGCCCGCAAGTAATACCGAAATGTAGAGCCACGACGCCGCCCTCCGGTACGCGCTCTTGCTCGGAAAATTGCGTGTAATACCGCGACGCATCCGGGTCCTTGAGACCGAGTAGAAAATTGCGATCGACAGTGAGAGCAAAGGGCCTCGGGATGGTATCGTGGCCGCGGAATCGTGATAAAGACGTGATAGCGAGCCTCTGGAGATTGCGATAGATTCGTTGGCGAAATCCGGTAATGCAAGTCCGTTTTCGTGTAATGTCCGCGCTCGTGGTTGCGTCTCGCGCACACGGTGTTCACGGCGTATCGAATTACCAAATATTACTTGCGTTGGAATGTCGTCCGCGTCAGCACATTAATCGCGTTAACATGCCGTTTATGCTGGCTAATTGTCTTAGGATGTTATTCGTGTTAGGTTAGTTATAGTCAGGGAGTAAGATATAAGGAGACTGATATCCGTACTATGAAAGTGGTCAATTTTTGGGCAAAAGTTGGTGGCGCTGTGGATGCGAGTGGTAGCCACCAATGCTAGACAGTGGATTCACGCTCTGGAGATTCGGGTTCAATCCCTGGCAGGTATCACAAATTCTGCGGGGGTTTTTTTCCGGGGATCTGGGGCGTGGTCTGGTAGAAGGCGGCGGTGGCTACCGGGTGCACGTGTCCCCGGAATTTTCGGAGCACATCACAAGTCGAACCCCCCTCCCAATGGGGAACTCGCCCTTCACAGCCACCGCTTTTCCAGGTGGATGTGTGGAGGAAAGAGGGGGTATCGGCGATACCGTGCGGGGTTGCTGGTCTCCCATCGGACACCTCCACAGATGGCGAATAGGGGAAAGCCCGCTAAAAATAGAGGGTACCGGGGAAATAATATACCCAGGGTGGACCAAAAAACCAGTAGAGCAACACCGCCGAGCAACAAGCGGAGGTTACGGGTACCGTGAGGGACGAGCATCCTCTAAATAACCTGGCATAGAAGGCAATGGAAAACCACTACGACTATTATTCCAAGAAAACCACATGAATACGGACAATAGGAGGAATAATATGTCGGGCAATCCGGCTGACCCCCGGCGCCTAGATGGTTCCGGGCCGTCTGTTGTGAAATTGGCGACCGGCCACAGGAGGGTGACCCACCAAGGCTTCTTATGGAAACTGGGCTACTGGTGGTAAATAACCCAAAGTACGACGAAATCAACACATAACCTTGCTGGTAACGGTGAAAAGAACAACAATGGAGTTGGGTTTATTGTTGCAAAGAACCTGAAGGACTGTGTACTAGGTTATGAGGCGATTGATGACAGAATAATCAGGATTAGAATTGGTGCCCGCCCGCACACCCTGAACATCGTCCAAGTGTATGCGCCTACAACCGAGTGTACGGAGGAGGAAATCTCTGATTTCTACGCAAAGCTTGAGACAGTCTGCCGTGTGAGACCGAGAAAGGAGACTACCGTCCTGCTGGGCGACTTTAATGCAAGAGTGGGAGAAACTACGCACGATACACACCTTAACCAAACAGTAGGAAAGCACGGTTTGGGGGTCCGCAATGAGAGAGGAGAAATGCTTCTGCAATTCTGCATAGGTAACCAATTCACCATCATGAATACTTGGTTCAAGCAACATCCACGGAGGCTATATACGTAGATGTCACCAGGAGGTGCATACCGAAACCAAATTGACTACGTGTTAATTGACACCAGATGGCGCTCATCCATTACTAATGCCAAGACACTACCCGGAGCGGACTGCGGAAGCGATCATCAGTTGCTGGTTGCGGAGTTTAAAGCCCGGCTCAAAGTCGTCTATAAAGCCAGTAACAACAAAACACTGCACATGCACGCTGATGCAATATCGCAGTTTAGGCAGGACATGCACACTAGGCTTTTGGGAATGGAGACGGATTTAACAGAATCAGCCAATGATATGTGGGTCAGACTAAAAACAGTCGTAATAGACTCTGCGGAGACCATTGTACAACAACGCCGGGGTCCGCGTACCAGACCTGACTAGATAAGCCAGAAGACCTGGTCCGCCGTCCTGCGCCGCAGAACCTTAAAAAAGAATGGTCTAAGCACTGAAGATGATAGAAGGCACTACCGCGAGCTGCACAGAACTGTCCAAAGACTCTGCCGTAAGGACAAGGATGCGGAAGAAGTGGACAGAGTGTGTCAAAAGATCGAGGAGTCATCCAACAGGGCACACACAAAAGACATGTTCTGTAAAGTCAAGTCACTGACAAAGGACATTAAGATCAAGAGCTGGACATTGGAGGATGATACGGGAGCTATCATCACAGATCGATACAAGGTGCTAGAACGATGGAGGGAATACTGCCGAGGTCTGTACGCGGCAACAGAGAATTCAGAAGAATTGAGAATGAGCGAATGCGGCGTGAGGGAGCCGGACATTCTTCTTGCGGAGATAGAATGGGCCGTGGCAAGACTGAAACACCAAACTAGCGGAGGCGATAGAGTCAGCCCAAATGCTCAAGAACCTAGGCCCAGAGGGCACGCACATGCTCCACTTGATCTGTCAGAGGGTCTGGAGTACTGGACGATGGCCGGATGACTGGTCTGAGTCTATACTTGTCCCTCTGCACAAAAAGGGTTCAACCCGCAAATGTGAAAATTACAGAACAATATCACTGTTGTCACATGCTAGTAAGATACTCTTGAGCATAATTAAGGCAAGACTAGAAAATTACATCGACCGGCATATCTCAGAAGAACAGGCTGGTTTCGTCAAAGGAAAAGGCACACGCAAACAAATCCTTAACGTCCGACAGCTGATTGAGAAGAGCAGAGAATTTAATGTGCCATTACTGATGTGTTTTATTGACTATGCCAAAGCGTTCGACTGCGTCAGCTGGAAGAGAATGTTCGAGGTGATGAGAGAGATGGGAGTTCCTGAAACACTTGATACTCCTTGTGCAAAACCTGTACCTGGATGGCACATGTAGAGTCCGACTGGAGGATGCCACTTCGGGGCCCTTCAGCGCACGAAGGGAAGTGCGACAGGGCTGCATTTTATCACCAAAGATTTTCAACCTTTACGGTTATCATATCATATATCATGCGCAAAATGCTGAAGGACTGGACGGGGGGTGTCCGGATAACTGGGAGGAAGATCAGTAATCTCAGGTTCGCGGATGACACCACGATTTTGGGTGCAACCGAAAGCGAGCTGGCGGAGCTGCTTCGTAGGGTGAAGGTCGAGAGTATGCAACTGGGACTCCACATAAACAGAAGCAAGACCAAACTAATGTTCATCGATCGTGCCGGGACCCTGCCTGCAGCGCACACACGAGCTCCGTGATTTGGAGGTGGTTCCGAATTTCGTATACCTGTGCTCCGTAATCAGCGATGATGGAAGCTGCGACAGGGAAGTAAACCGCCGCAGCCAAATGGCAAAGGATGCTATGAGGCGGCTCGGCAAAATCTGGAGGAATCGTGGCATGAGCAGGAAGACCAAGGTCCGACTAGTCCAGTCCCTGGTTTTCTCAGTGTTCCTATATGCTGCTGAGACATGGACACTGAAGGCAAGATTGAGGAGCAGAATAGATGCATTCAAAATGTGGTGCTGGCGGAAAATGCTGGGTGTGCCTTGGACGGCCCATCGCACAAACGCGTCAATTTTGCAAGAACTTGGAATTCGAACTCGCCTGTCTACGATTTGCCTAAGGCATATTCTGAGGTTCTTCGGGCACATCTCCAGACGCGAGCCGGACAACTTGGAGAGACTTATGATCGTTGGTCAGGTCGAGGGAAAAAGAGGCAAAGGCCGATCCCCGACCAGATGGGGCGATGCCGTCAGAAAGACCACACAGGGACCCATCCACGAGGCGATGCGCCGAGCTGAGGACAGGGAATCATGGCGACAGATGGTCCACGATTCATGTGGTCACGATCCTCAGTAATGAGGGACCGACTTAGATGATGGTGGCGCTAGTGTTCCAAAAACGGTACCCTCGCTGCTGGTGACAGGCGGCTGAACAAAATTACGCGATGCGTAAGAGGTTGGAATTTTACTACATTGAAGTACACTGAGAAAAAAATCAATTACATGTGCTATCACGGGGTGCCAAAAACATAAGTAGTTAATTCAATTGTATTATTATTAGACCCAAATATCCGAATTATTAAATCAATAACTTAATTATTATTATTAAATTTGATTATAAAAATAAATAATTTAATTATTGGTTTAATAAATCCAGATGTGTTTGGCACCCCGTGATAGCACTTTAATTGAAGCAACAGTTTTTTTTCTTAGTGTATAAGAAAAGTGATAATATTTATAATATATTTATATATATTTATGATATATTTATTTATATTTATAATATTTATTCACATGTTCTGGACATTTATACGACTTTTTGCATTATTCAAAAACTTGCGTTTCAAACACGCCTTAGTAGATACGGAAACTGACACATTTTCTTCAGAGAACGAGAAATGAAACGTAAACGTTTCGATGCACTAAAAAAATTTTTATATAAAAACATATCTAAATATATACATATAATCATTGTGACGACGACGACGATGTCCTCACGGTCTCGCCGGCCGTGAAGGAGCGCGCCGTCGCTTTCTTCATTAAAGATCTCTTTACTATTCGCGATATTCCTCTCCAAAATCCAGATGGTAGCTCGACTGAGTATTTTTATGATGTAAATGTTGGGCGCCAGGTGCGATTCCTCGCACCACGATACACGAGATCGCTGTATTCTCAGGCGTGGGCTTCTTTGATTAATCGCGGATGGAATAGGCGAGGGAGCGTAGCGCAATCATCACACTCGAGTAACAAAGAACATAAAATTATATTTCAGTTTAATGCAGATAACAAGTGGAAGGTGGCGAGTTCCACGGCGAACAAGCAGAATTCGAGCACGCGCCACGTGTCACCCCACGAGCGCGATACTCATTCCGTCGCTGAACTGCACGGCAATCCCGATCGAATTTGTACAAGACTATTCCCCGACATAAATTGCAGCGAATTCTACCCGGACGGTCAAACGCGAAATGCCCGAAACGTCTACTTCTAACAATTAGCGCAATTTCCTTACTATCTACCGCGACCACGCACTGGGGATCTTCACTCCCCCCGAGACGCACGAATGGCCTCACCCGTAAACGCGACACAACCGTGGGCCATTAATCCCGATGAAACGCACGGATATCTAATTACAAATAACACGAACTTAACCGGCAACGACAACTACGAGACTCTCGCACGCGCAAGAGCCACCTCCCAAAACTACGGCACGGTTAAGCCAACGACGATTCCGAAATTACACGCGACGAGATTGCCCGCAACGAAATTACACGCAACGAAATTACCCACAACGAAATTACACGCAACGAAATTACACGAAACGAAATCACACGCAACGAAATTACAATCACGCTGACTGTCGGCGGCCGTACGTTCGCATCCCCGAGACGGGCACTCGCGATCACTTTGTCGCACGAGCCCTCCCGCGGTATGGCACTCGGTATTATTCAATTACGGCGTATTCCATGTATTCCCGCGGCACAACGCGACTCCCGGGAGAGCCTTGGTATTACCGCGATCTTACTTCCGGGAGGCTGAGCAGTGGCCTTACAAATTCTCCTGGTTCCGGCAGCTCGTCGTTCGGCTCGCAGGGCTGGATGTTGCCAGGATGGCGGCTCGCACGACAGTGGCGTTTCTTCGGCCCGGCGGGACCACGCTGAGCCCCCGCGCGCGCGCGCCGGTGTCCCTGGCCTTATCAGGTGCTGCCATCCCCTCCGCACTCCCTCGACCTGTAACGCTCGCAACAGATCTTAATCCTAACCTAACTGTTCGCTCTCCGCCCGCCCCGGGCGGAGGCACCATCCTTGACGCCTCCCTCGGCCGAGCTTCCATCTGGGGTAAGGGACGTGACATTTGTCACGTCACATCATATAATATTATATAATATATTATATAAAATATGTCCATATACTATGTTTCTTTTTTTTGTATAATCTCTGTTTGTATGTACAAGACAAATAATAAGAAAAAGAATTAGAAAATAATTAAAAAGATAATTTTTGCATTAAAAAAAAAAAAATAAATAAAATCTGTGCAAATGTGAAAAACTTGTTCATATATAATCATATTATTTTCTAATTTTTTTTCTTATTATTTTTCTCGTACATACAAACAGAGATTATATACAAGAGAAAGAAAACTTATATATAAACATATTTTATATAATATTTTACATAATATTTTATATAATATTATATAATTATATATATTTAGATATTGTTTTATTTAAAAAATTTTTTACCGTGACGTGTCGGCACGTACTATCGTCGCCAAGTTGACACTTGAATATTGAAACGGATCGTCACGTGACCCACCGATGATGGAACACAAGCGCTGCGAGTGGTAACATTTAACACTCAACTTTCGCCCAAAATCGGGCCAGGTTTTTGCGGGTACCAAGTATGGAGATCAGTCTCTTTATATCTTACTCCCTGGTTATAGTATTCTTTATCTTGTCGAATGTATCGGCGCCTCCTTGTTGCGCCCGATCAGCGTTATTTACGTGAGATTTCGATAACTTGGCAACGGAATTCCCGTACGGTCTGAATACGGTGCTTCCGCGCCCCGAGCGTGACGCACCATTATTTCGCGATATTTTACGTTACGTTACATCACTTCCTAGCGACTCTAATATTTCGCGTTACTCCGATTATTTCAAGTGCGGTCGTTTCTTTGGCCGCTATTCCGTACTATTGGCGAGCTGAATTTTCTATTGTTATTATTTGTTGTTCGAGAAGAGCGCCTTCCGCGCGTTTATATTAAACAAAAGTGAGACTCCGTAATTTCTAACGTCCGAGTTGTTACTATTTCTGTTCATTAAATCTGGACGCCCGCGTCAGCTACTATTTACTGGATTTGTTTTGCGATTAATCGAAGCCGAATGGGCACTTGTTATGATTTTCTGGAGAGTTACTATACAATAAATGTTACTCCTTATTGTTAACGGATTGAGTTATTAATTTACGTGTCACCCCGCCGGATATTGCGCCGCCCTTCATCAACCCCGCCCCGTTTTTAAGTCGAGCTAGCCGATTCCTCGCACATCCACACATTTCATTTTGCGTCTCGTTTTGGTTTTTCGCGATCTCGCGGACGCGAATTCACGCGTCTGGCGCCCAACATTAAAATCGTTTTGTGGAGTGTCGGAGGTGCGAGAGAATCCCCGGAGAGGCCTATCATCCCGCTCTCCTTTATCCTTTTGATCCGGTACACGCCCTGGACCGCTCAGGGAGTGAAAAAGTCGTGACAGACCCATTTATAAGATACTGCAATTTTCCATGGAAAGGTTGAAGGTCTGTTAATTTCCATGGAAAATTGTAGTATCTTATAAAAATCTAAAAAGGCAAATACATGTAGATTTCCATGGATTCACGATTCGTAAAAGGCTTAAGAATTTTGTTGTTTTCTATAGGACCTTGTAGTATTATATGCGAAATTACAATCATTCACGAGTCAGAAATTTAATTAGGTAAAAAATTGTACATTTGTGTATTTTTCTATTGGGTCTTACAGCAAACTGTACGAAAATAAAAACATAAGTATTTTGACTTCTGCGAATTAAGAAATTATTAATAATAGATAAATTTTAAAAGATTTGTGTAAAAACTTGTAACATTTAACTAAAAATTACAAATTTTAATTAGCCATAATTGTAAAAGATTTTTGAGCTGTACAAACAAATCGGTATTTGTTACTATTTATACAAAATTGTAGTATTTTATGAGAAACTAAAAACTGGATTAGATTTTCTAATTTATATAGTTTTACGATATGTAAATTGTGGTAGATTTCTATAATTATTTGTAAATAATTGTAGTATTCTACAAGTAAGCAGATGTTTTAATTTTTTAAGTTTTGTTGATTCTCAAATTTTTAATATTTGTAGATTTTTGTATTATTTTT